CGAGGGCCACCACAGCTGTTTCACACCAGGTCCTTGGGTTACCACAAGTCCTTTCTGACAGATACTATGCAGCTGCTCGATCACCCAGCAATTGAAGCAAACAATGAAGGAGATTTCAAAAAAATGTCTTCCTACTGCCAGATCAGCTCAAGAAAGAAGACCTCCATAAGCTTAGTCTTCCAGGTGGAAGGCAGAAATTGACATCACTTTATAAAGAATCCAAAGCAAAGCTGAAGGAATAAGCTGATTTTGAAGATGACAATATACTAACAGGGCTGTCCACAACCACCTGAAATTCTCCAGGTGACCGCTCTAATAGCCACGAGGCATGACTGCCTTCAAGGGCAAGGAGGATCCAGTGGTTTGAAGGGAAGACCCATGAACACCTGAGAATTTGGAATGCCCAAACAGTGGGCTACAATTGTGGATGTCAGAAAAACTTGCAGGACAGAGAGTGGGGAATTGCTAATTAAAGCAAAGCTCTGCATCTTGCTATTCCAACAATACATTTGATTAGCTAGGATTAAAATATGAGCGAAAAATGAGCAGTAAGCATACTACAGCGAGATGCTGCTTCACCTAGGATATCCCTGGATAGTTTTTTCCATTTGGAAGAATTGATTGGGCCAGAGCTGAACAGGGGTCCATCTGTTGTAGAAAACCATTCATTGTTCACCATGTTTTATGGAGGACCTGAAAAGGGATGGAGCATACAGGACTGTTGTAGCTCACAGGGCTGCAGGTCTGCAAGGAGCACTCTTAATGCCTCTAATGAATAGATAAAAGAGGTGCCAAAGCCACAGCTATGGCAAAACCAGCATTGTCAGTTCCTTCTCCACTCTTAAAGAGAACTTGCAATAGCTAGAGTGCACAGATGGACTTCTGACCATGGGAAGATAAGTGTATCCAGGAAGCGCTCTTGACTGCTGCCCAGATTCAGGGCACACCTGCTTTGCAAACCAGGCTCCTCCCAGCCGCTCCCAGGTCGGACTCAGCTTCTCCTGGACGTGGCCACTGACACAGCCAGTGAGACAGCCTGCTGCAGAGAGGGAAGACGTGGGGAGGCAGAAAACGTACCAGGCTGCTGTGCTCACATAGGCATTGGGTCAATGACTAGGAATGAATCCCATACTAGCTCTCATTAAAGGTGAAGTGGGAAAAAACTAAAAAATATATATATATATCCCAGCACACTAGGATAGGTCTTAGCAAACACCAACTATGAACTTAATCACGATGACTAACCAGCAAAGACAGCAGAACAAGCATTTTACAAATAAAAAAAAAGTCCCTCCGAGCAGGAGAGAGAGCATAAAACAAGTACTGAAAAAAAACCAAAACCCAGCCTTGCAAAGTAACACATGCTAGGATGAAAATTCTCCAACTCATAGCTCACATGAAATAATCTGATACTCATCTATCAAAAATGAGAAGCTGGATTGCAAGGTCCACCAGTCTCATCCACATTGCCAGCTTCTCGGCTTCCATGCACAGAACAGCAAACTCTCTTGAACTTTAGAGCAGCAAGGTATGCTATTTACAGCTGAACCATGAATATAAATTGTCCAGCAGGGTAAGTGTACACAAATTCACCCTGAACAGCATGTTTGCTCTACCCCTTGGGGATTTGTTTCATCTTTCACCTGGAGAATCAGCCAAAATCTTCAGAAAAAGACAAAATTTCATAAACTTGCATTTGAAAAACAAATACTAAAATATTTTTAGAGTTCAACTAGACAGTGTGATTTACAAATGGAGTAGAAGCACACAACGGTGCCAATTGCTCACAAAAATGGATCTTGCTGTAGTCATTTTATTGTCCTGTGTTTATGTCTAAAATCCTAATCTCATTTTAACACAGCAATCAGTGAGAAGGATTTGCTAAGGAGATTAGTCTGTGAGAAAATTAGAAGTTAAGGTTTTTACCAACTAAGAAGTAAAGATATTTATTGAGCTGCTTTGAAACACAGTTTTTTAGGGCAGGCATTTTTGATATATAGTTCTTAAGGGCAGCTGGACTAAAAAGCAAAGCTGAAGGGGTTTCTTTTCAAATTCAAAGCAACCCTAGGCTTCAGTTGCAGCCTTAAAAATGCACACACAGAAGGGGGATTTATTTTCATCTTTAATAGAAATGCATTCACTAGAAAGGAAGCAAGTGGTGTCAAAAAAGCAACACTTGTGGTATTAGAAACCATGCGAGCTTCTCAAGTGCAAGCTACAATGTGTGCTGACAGCTTAAGCAATGCAGGGTGCAAGATTAGTCACAGCTGTGCTATCCACAGCAGCTCGTTTCTTCACTGGCAATTTGGTAGAAAAGCATAAGAAAACAAACAAGACTTCATTCTTTTTAATTACAGGGAAAGCATAGTGGCTCAATCATAACTGTAGCATCGTACTTAATCCTGCAAGGGTAAGTTCATAATGAACAAATCAAAGGTCAAAAAAAGATGCAAGTATTTAACAGTTACTTTACTGGTAGTCTTAGAATTTAGCTTGCAACCAGCCTTTAAGCATTTTGTGATTCATAAATATATGGCAGAGAAGGAACTCAGTGCAAGCTCCTGTAAACTTAGGACCAGACTGTATTATGGCTGCACATTACAGTATTTAAAAATCAAGTTATTAGGATGAAACCGCCAGAATATTTATTGTAAGCTTAAATTTGTACAATTAATCCCTAAGATTTTCATAGATGTTGTAACAAGCCTTACTGTATTTTTTCATGTTTTTACAGCATCAAGACTTCAAGCTTCTGAAGTATAACTGCAGAATATGCTGGTTCTCTTCAGTGGCAAAAAGTATACAAATTTTATTTCTCTATTCTGAGAGAAAGAAAAGGTGAAAAGTCTACACAGAGTTTTGCTGTGGGATGGTTGGTTGTTGTTTAGGTTTGTTGGGGTTTTTTTGCATTGATTTATTCGTACTGTCTACCCTTTTCATGACCCATGATATATAAACTGATCTAGCACTGAAAAAATGAGATGCTTACCCAAACTCCCACCACATGTGGTCAGGAGCTGGCCAAGTAGTCTAGACTTGAACAAGGAACATCATCCAGAATTTGGGCTCCCCAGAACACAACAGAATTGACACACTGGACTGAGAGCAGCAGAAGTCCACCAAGGTGATTAAAGATCTGGAGCACATGATGGAAAAAGGCTGAGAAAGCTGGGTCTGTTCAGGCCTTGAGAGGAGAAGGCTTGGGAGGACCTTACTGCTGTCTTCAACTACCTAACGGGAGGGTGTAGAGAAGACAGGGACAGATACTTCTTGGAGGTGCAGTGGCAGGACAAGAGGCAGCACACAGACACAAAGCAGCATATAGAAAATTCAAATTTTCAAAATATAGGAAACTTTTTTTTTTACACTGCCAGTATGGTCAAACACTGGAACCCATGACCTGGAGAGGTTGTAGATCTCCATCGCTGGAAGCATCCAACACTCAACCAGACAACAGCAACATGATCTAGGTGCACCTGCTTTGGGGAAGGTGATGGAGCAGACGGCTTCTGGAAGTCCCTTCCACCCTAAATTATTCTATCATTCTACGCACTGGGCTACCCCAGTGACTCTCTCTGGGCAATCATATAAGCCAAGCACATACAAAGATCCTTTTCTGCTTTTAAATTCACCTGCTAATTCCTTAATTTTTACATTTTTCATTTGTTAAAACATAAAATATCAATGTAAATCACAAGTATGACATTTTATAGCAGAAGTGAAGACTGAGTAGGTTGCTTTAAGTACCAGTGGCATTTTATCTGGATTTTAACACACTAGTACACTATGTGAGATGTTACCAGTAGCCAAACTTGAAAATGCAAAGCATGTGTTCTGGCATGGTTATTAAGATGTCAAATCTTTTTTGTTAGCAGTCAGTCAGTCATTGAAAACAATCTGTACACATCTAATCCAGTCAGTGAAAATAGCTGTACAAATTTAATATGATATGCCCCATTTATATAGCTCATTATGCTCTGAAGTGATTCTATTCATTAAGTCCCCACAAAAACAATTGCCAGCTTTAACATATATTAAAAGTAACATTACATTCTGCTCTCAAAAGTACAAAAAAATAACTCTTCAGATATACACTGGTTCCTAAGCTCAGACTGAATCCTTTCAGGAAGAGAATTTCGCACTTCAATAGACAGTGCCTTCAAGAGCTCTTCAAAGTGCTTAGCAGAGCATGTGAACACTATCCCCACTTACTAGATGATGAAATAAGGCACAGAGGTCAGCTACCTTGCCCACACTCACACAGAGAGCGAGTGGTATAACTAACAGAGCAGAATTTGGGCTTTTCAGTTGTCCAGTGTAACCACCGCATCTCACTGCCACTATTCAAGTGCAATGGCTTAAACATTTCTGAGGAGCAAAACTTGTACAGCATACAGAAGGGGCAATCCAGAGCCAGTCAAAGGCTGCAACAATTTCAAACCAAACCAAACCAATCTGGTAGTCCATAAATCAAAATGCACTTCAGGGAATGGTCCCATTGAAAATTATACATTAACCCACAGAGAGAAAGCTCATTAAACATAAGACATATGGTGTAAACTTTGCAAAAGCATACTGGTTATCTTAAGCTTGAGAGTAGTTCAAGTAACATTGACCTCATCAGAGAAGTCATACTTCCCGGTCAGGAGACATCTTAAACACTGTTCTTCTACTGGCAAGGTACGCTTCTCCGGAGAGTCACACAGAAATGCAAGTAAGGAGCCACATATCTCCTCAGGAGGCATGGATGTGTATGAGGCACAAAAAAAACACATTAATTGCTTGTGAGGTATGGACTAAATGGCAGAGAAATACCAATCTGGAAAAATTTTGAAAGTCTGAAATAAATAAGGTTAAGAAAACTGAAAGTCACCCATCAAAATCACCAAGAAATGCATCTTCAGACAGATTATGCTGCAGAAAAGAAAGTGCAATATGTATAATAACTGCTTGGATGAGAAGCATGCTATAGCCTGGCCCTGTGATAACAAATAAGCATTTCAGAAAGCCTGTCCTTGAATAGGATGCTCATGAGATGACTCATTTACTGACAGAGACTGCTGATGGGATTCAGAAATATGTACACTTTGATTCTGTTCTTCACTCATTTGATGAGAAGGAACTGTATCTTGGATAGAGTGAGACTGTTGACTTGATTCCTGAGTCAGCTGCACGTGCTGAGCTGGATGTGAAGATCCCGCTAAGTGGATTTCTTCATTTTGTCCTTGATGAGCATGGAGATGTTCTAGTGCTTCCTTGGAAAGAGCGATGACATGCATTTGTTCAGGTTGGGCAGTCTCTATTTGGTTTGCAATCATATTGATACTTTGGATTTGTTCCACTTGCTCCTGCTGAGCTGAAAGCAACAAATTTTGCAACTGCTGTGGTGGCTGAGCAAGCAGTGTGAGATTAGAAGCCTGCTCTGTTGTCATATTTGGGGCATTTTCTGCAGTAACAATACTAATGCCTTGATTATGACTAGGCATGAAGTTTATATTATGTACTGCATTTGTAACCAGTAGCTGGATTTCCTGCCCTCCAGAGGTGGCAAGTTGATACTGCTGCAGCTGAAGAATGTTTCTCACTTCTTCTGAACCAGTGTTGGCGCTTGGGGCCATGCTGGCTTCCTGAAACAGCTTCTCCTTGCTATGAATTTTCAAATGAGACTTCAGGTTGTCCAGACGAGCAAACTGCAAACTACATTCTGAGCAGGAGAAAGGCTTTTTGCCTGTGTGTAAGATACAGTGTCTTCTCCTAGCACTGGAATCAGAGAAGGATTTTCCGCATATACCACAAGAATACGGCTTTTCTCCTCTAGAAAAGAACGTATTTGATCTCATTAAAATATCCGCTTTGACAGTGCTGCTTTCTGCAACTTATTATAAAATAAAAAACTGAAATGATTATTTTGTTTTGCTAAATTATAAGCATTTAAGAATGGTGACGATAAAAATGTTCTCTATTTGACTCCCCAATTATTTTTGACTTCACAAACTGTACAACACTTTCATTAGTATATACTCAAGAGCTACAGAGGTAACATTACTGCCCTCCTGTTATAATACCAGATGTACAAACTCTGCGCTGCTAGACCTTGACAAGAATGCATCAATTACTTTGCACAGCTGTAAGCACTGACCATTTTAAGAACGTTTATCAGCAGTGTGGGCTTTAAAACAAAAAGAAGTGTGCAAATCCCAACTTCCTGACTCAAAGGGATGAGAAATTTTACTGGAAACGTTTTCTTTTACATAAGGCCCACAACAGTTCTCCAGTGATTTAAAATCTGACATGCCTTTATGCAATAAATCACACTGACATGGGTAAAAGACAAGTAATGCTATTAAAGAGACCTGGTAAGACTACAGGGAAACAAGACAGTGCTCCAATAACCCTGTTACACTATGGCTACTGTTCTGCTGTCAAACAACAATTCACAATAACATTTTCCCGTAAATAATATAACAGTAAGAACACTGTCATTAAACAGTCACAATACACCAAAGAAGAATCTTACAATATCTTGTCACACTAGTACTTATCAGTGCAGTACTTTCTACTACCAATTATTTCTTTAAATAGATTAGGCAAAAACGTTAACTTTAACCATCCATCCAAAAGGCAAGCAAGCCCTGACCATTCTATGACTGAACAAGAACTACATACAGGTATTGTATTAGAAGTTTCATCTTTAAAGAATGTAATGAAAATTAGACATATTCTACCTGTGAATTCTAATGTGAGTCTGAAGAGAACTTTTAGCCGTAAATGATTTGCCACAAATTTCACAAGTGAAGGGCTTCTCACCTATTAAAAAAAAAAAATGACATTACTTTTTATACAGGACTTCCTATCAATATATTAAAAAACATTTTATATTTTACCATACACAGTATCAAGTGTGTACTGTCGAATCCTCACATTTCTGCCATGCGTCAGGACAGATATATGAAACTGAATGTACTCACTAGTTAAATGAGGGTATAGTATTTTAAACGTACATCTCTGACATTTCTCCCCTTTGAAGAAAAAGAATTAGGTGATTCAAATTCTCAGAGCAACAAAAAACATACATATGATACTGATGAGCATGTTCCACATGGAACAGACAAGTCTGAAAAAAGGCTGACCCTGAACTAGTAGGCATCAACGCTGGGCTCACATGCAGCAACACGGAAACGAGTAAGCCTATATTTCCAAACCTGAAAAGTGAATCCATTATCTTAACAAGTTGCCTCACTTCCTATAAGGTTCCATCATCCTAGACCTACGATATACCGGGAACACCAGACGGAGAAAAATTAAATTATGGTGGGTCAAATAAATTGTAGTGGTGCTCGTTTGTTTTTGTTTTGTTTTTCTGCATTTGGAATTCTTGTGTCTAACTGAGTAGAAGCAGAGGAGTCAAACAACAAAAGGTTCACAAGAAACACAATACTACCCAACCGCAGCAAATCCTAGTTCACACCATAACATATCCTTGTTGCACTGAGCTTCTTTAAGATACCAGATATGAGAATCTGGGTCACCACTGTGGTGATTCACACCAGCAAAGCACACAAAACCTGGGAATGGGGCAGCAGCCAGTTACAAGGAAGCTTCACATTTAGCATAGAACTGCAGCACTTATCAGTTTTCATTTGGCTTTGGAGAGCAGAGGTAAAATATGAGAGAACAAGAAACATTTGTCAGAAGGGAGCACTAGTCATCTAGTCCCAGCCTCCTACTGAAAACAGGAGTAACTTCCTCAGTAGACTGTATTCTTACAACATGGCATTACAAAACCGCTTCCAAAGCAGAGCAGTCATACCAGTGTTAACACCTGTTCCCCAAACTCCTTAGAATTTTGCTTCTTGCTTTTAAGATGGGACAGATCAATCGTTATTTCTGCATCATTAATACTGGTATCTGGCCTGTCTTTTCTGGAAGCAAAATACACTGCAAGGCACTTTCTGCTAGAACTCATCTTGGTTCATCTATTTTTGCAACTTCCCTTGCTAGTATGCTTCCTCTTCTCGTTTCCCACCACCAAAATAATTTCTCACTACATTTATGCAGCTGTATCAGCTTCAGATACAGAACTGTTGTGTGTCAACAAACACTATATTCTCCTCAACAGAAAATGCAGTATTTCTAAGTATTGAAAGTTACCCAATTCTAGATACACCAAAAACTCCCAAGAGCAGAAGTTCTGACCTCATTGTATCCCAGGGAATTTAAAGCTGTGTTATTTTCACTGAGAAAGGGAAGGAAATGAATGAGATACATAACTGAATCTCATGGATTCTTTATCACAACTGCAGGCAACATGTTTAAAAATAATTTGATTTTGGGAAGAAACAATTGCCACTGTTTATAGCTATTTTAAAAGAAAAAAACATTCACATATCATCTTATGAACTTACCCTTCAAAGGAAACTATTTTCAGCAGCTTATGCTTTGTTATCACAAGACAGTAGACCAGCATTTTAATCTCTCTTGCCCAACCATGCAAGTATCACTTTGCCCTCAAAATCTCTTAAAGCATCCTCTGACACACTTGCATTAAATCATCCTCCCAGCCCATCTTCTGACAACATCTGGTTTATTACAGCACAATAAAAAGGTAGATGGAAATAATTATTTTTTGGGTCAGCAACATTTTTCACAAGCCCACATCCCTCACAGACAGGGGTGCCCAACTCATTCTGGACATACACTTTCTGTTACTAGTTAGCTCACTTCAAGCCCCATACATGCTGGATGCAGGTCTGCTGATAAACTGCCAGCCCAGGATTCTATCACAGGAGAGCTAACTGGCATGGTCTGCAGCAGGCTTTATAAGAATGGGAAAACAACCCTCTTCCTATAATAGGCACTGCTTCTGCACTGTTGTAATACGAGCTTTTTTGTGCTCCTGTGTTTTTGATGTAAAATCTCTTCATTAGCAATATAGGCATCGTTATGCACAAGTAGCGCAGAAGTTCATCCCACATAGACAAGTGTCATTTGCCTAACGTTGTTTTGTCTGTGTTAATTCAAGGAAAAACCCACAAAACATGACGTAAAATATTACCTGTATGTGTTCTTAGATGTTTCTTTAACTGAGCTGCGTCCATGAATTTGCGACGACACTGGCTACATTCTGGCAGTGAACGGCCTTGTCGCAATAATAAAAAAAGTGTCAGTGCATAAGTGATCCCCTGTATCTCTTCAGTGATCTTTGTTAAAGCACTTTCCTGTAAAATAACCACTTTGATATAATATAGAGATAAAATAAAAGGTGATTCACTGCCTCATCTCTATCTTAATGGTCTCATTCCTATTTCTCTATTTAATATTATCGTGGGAAAAGAGGGGGCTGACATCTGCTCCCCCCCAAACACACTTTCTCTTGAAGCTTTGTAAACTCTGATTTTTTTTCCACCACTTCTTGTTGGTGTAGCTTAATCTCCATCCTGCTACAGAAGTGAGCAGGACACTTCTTAAAGCTTGTTTGCCATTGCTAGTCCAAAGTAGTGGGAAACTACCAACGGGCAGCGGACACAATTGTTTACACAACTGCTAGCTTCTATGTAACACAGGCAGCAGGGCTAAAATAATCAAGTTGTGTGTCAAATACAGTGCAACTAATTTTTAATCATCATAAGAGTCCTTCTTGATTAACTATATTTCTAAACATTCCACTTATTATACACCATTTTGTCTTTTTCACCCTATTCATTGTTTTATCAAGATAGCATATATCAGGGTAGCAGAGACTAAATACAGACATCACTGAAGAATAATTTTCAGCCTTAGTCAAGCTTTAGGAGCGCAAATCAGCATGGCCTGTCAGCCAGCTCTTCAATCCAAACTTGTTGTACCTGTGTGTACTCGATAATGGCTCTTAAGCTGTCTCTTTTGGCTGAAGTATTTCCCACACTGATCACATGTAAAAGCCTTCTGCCCTGTAAAGAAAATCACTTATTAAAATGGAAGCCACATCCAAAGCAAGTGTAAAGAAAAAAATAAATAAACAAGCACACATGAGAGAGAGAGCAGAAACACCTTTTTTGAGAAAGGCAAATTCTTGAGGGAGAGAGGTTACATTTGTCTTGGAAATATTTACCGGTGTGTAGGCTCATATGCTCCAGAAGAGAATGCTTTGTTGTCAGAGCCTTACTGCAGACGGTGCAGGTGTACGGCCGTTCTCCAGTGTGCATCCGCTCATGGACTTGAAGAGAGTGCTTCTGGGAAAAGCCTTTGCCACACTCACTGCACTTAAAAGGGCGCTCCCCTAAAAGCAAAAGATGACATTTTTAAGTATAGAAGCATTACTTCTTGCTAGATATTCTAAGCTGATAGTGAGATGCATTGCAATGTAGTAGCTACTAAAGAATGACTTTTAAGTAGTAATAAGGCAAAATAAGAGACAAGCTTCACATTGCAATACAATAATCCTTTAAGCACTGCCATATAATTCAATGTTTAAACAGAGAAATTATTAACTAAACTGCAATCAAGGTAAGACATAAAGGCTACAAGATCTGCTGACAAGAATAAAACAGTGAACACAGTCTCAGGCACACACTGTCATATAAAATAATTTGGATCAGCATGCTATTTTGGACAGTTCCTTGCTGTAGACAACAGCTCCCACTTCAACAGGTAGTTTTTAGCAACAAGTCACTAAACCCTAACCCAAAAGCACCAGTTGTTTATTGCCCACCTGTATGACTCCGCTGATGAATAGCTAAGAAGTGATTATATTTAAATACTTTGCCACAGTCTTTACAGCGAGCTTCAGAACCTGCACATTTTCTTTTTCCATCAGTTCTCTTTGCCAGTCCTTTTTCATCCTCATCACCAAGAAGTTTATAATCTTTTAGTTTGATTGATCTCCTTATTCTGCGTTTGCTGTAACGGCTCTGAGTGCTCTGTATTCCTTCAGATTTGGGATCATAATTCTCATCTTTCTCAGCTGACAGATCGACAGCATCTTCTGAGCCACAAGCAGGTTCAGTTTCTTCTGCATCTTTCCTCACTGGAGCCTGTTCGCTGACAACTGTTTCTTCCTCTGCAGTCTCCTTTTTCATAAAATTTTGCTTATTTTGCATGGAGTTGTTCTCTCTCAGCTGCACATCTTCAGCAGAATTTGTGGGTGATTTTTCTTCTTGGAGTTTCTTGACCTTCCTTGGTCGCCCTCGTTTTCGCTTGGGTGGATCTTCATTTTTCTTGTCGCTTGCAATAACAGCTATAGAGGCTGCACTGTTAGCCGGCGCTGGTAATGCATTACATGGGCTACGGCTGGCCTGATGGTCTGTACAGGCCCACACCAAGTCATTCACTTTCAGCAGCTGTGCAGTGGCCAGAATTTGTTCTGTGCTTTTTTCACTGGCATGGAGACAACCAGTGTAGATAAATTCAAGCAGTGCTCCAAAGGCGTCTGCAACCATTCCCTCCAACATGTAAATTGACTGCCCTATTTCACCCTCATCTACAAACATCATTGAGAAGTATTCACTGCTGGCAGCAAGCAAAGCTTTATGGGCTCTGAATTGCACATTCTCCACTATTAGAGTAATGTCACAGAGAAAATCCTTTTTCCTTTGTTCTTCCAAATTAGCTAGAATGGTATCTTTGTGAGCTTTGGAGTGGATGACAACCAGTTTCTCAGAAGTGTCAGAAGCTGCTTCTGCCATTTTTATTGCCCATATGAAAGCAGGTGCCTACAAGAACAGAATAACTGTAATTGAGAAATATTGCAGAATATAACACAATACAATATATATATAAAACAAAATACAATTTGGTTTACCAGTCAACAGAGTTCAACAGTTTCTGAATCAATTCTGAAGCCTCTGAACTTTCTTTAAAAAAAACATTAATGCTGACAGACTTTCTTCAAGAAGTGTTTTTAAATCCTAAGAAATGGCTACAGATAGTTTCTTCTTAGATCAGAATTACCGCCTATTATTTCATTTATCTCTGATGTACTGTGAAGTGTATAACATCTAAAAACGCCTACCCCTTCTGAAAACTCCTTTCACAACTAAATCAGTTGAACAAAAAGAACTCATTGTTCACAGCTCCTAACTGGAAACAAATAATAAAAAATAAAAGGTCAACTGCAGCTTCATCCCACATTTCATGTTATTCAGGGACAAGGCTATTAAATCCTATAATCAATGACAAAACTTCACTGGCATCAGTGTGGCATGACTCCATGCCTTTCACAAGGGAGCTGGGGAGGCACTCTTTATCAGGGAGTGCAGTGATAGGATGAGGGGCAACAGTTTTAAACTGAAAGAGGGTAGGTTTAGATCAGGCATTAGAAAGAAATTTTTCACTGTGAGGGTGGTGAGGCAGTGGAACAGGTTGCCCAGAGAAGCTGTGGACGCCCCATCCCTGGAGGTGTTCAAGGCCAGGCTGGATGAGGCTTTGAGCAACCTGGGCTAGTGGAAGGTGTCCCTGCCCATGGCAGGGGGTTGGAACTTGATGATCTTTAAGGTCCTTTCCAACCCAAACCATTCTATGGGTCTATGATTCTTTTATCCATTTCTATCCTTCTGAAAAATTCTCTTTCAGAACACTTACCTGCTAAGCGTCAGACTACAGAGGTGGGCAATAAAAACAAACAAGAAAAGCACCTTTTTTCAAAGAGCTCTGTCTAAAACAGGGTTGACTGTGCTAATCTGGCTTGCTAGGCTTCTTTAACTGTAAATATGAAAAAAATCAAAGACAAACAAAAAATACCCATAATCCAGTAGTTTCAGAAGAATCCACCAAATAATACTACAGAAGATGTGTGCCAAAAATGTCCATTTCAAAAGGATCATCTGAGCCAAACAGGAAACAGGTGGCTACTTGCCATCTTAAAGTATAAAATATAAAGCTGCCATTTTACATACAAACATATTTAAACACAGTGAGCACAACAGTTTTGATCACTGAAGGAACGCTGTAAGAAACAGCACAGACACGATACCCAAACGCTGCTGAGGTGTCCAGCAAGCGATTCTCTAGCACCCAGCTGCCGAACGCTTCACGCCGGAGCCAGACCGGCTCTCTGGGGACCTTCACTGCGGAAGGCTGGGAGGGC